CACGTGATTAAATATTGATGAACGAAGATAACTAGCATCTCAAATTCTACTGTAATTATCGAATTTAAAATCTTTATACTGGTAAAGAATCTTATATAGGTTGATTTGATTCGCAAAATTCATAATACCCTTAATTAAATTCCTAACCACCCAATATTCTGTTTAACACAACTACGTCATTTGTTTTTTTTCCCTTAAAAAAAGACCAGTGGGGGTTTTTTTTTCTCACGTTATTATTAAACCGTTAGAATGAGTATCAAACTCAAATTCATTCCAAGAAATTTTATCATTGAACTTTACGGTGCACTAACAATTAATAAACAATATTGATATATCAGAGTATAATTTCTGGCATTTCTGAATTTAAATTACCGTTTGCAGAGATATAACTAATAAATATGTAGTGAATATTAAGAAATAAAGCGGTGCAATTCCAAATGACAAATTCTCAGGTGATTCGTGTTGTAAAAGAATTTATGCTAGGCGAAACGTTTAGAATAGAGATTCATACAGTGTCGTGTAATCTCAATCACGAAATGTTTCTTTCCACAATAATTTCTTTTTTGAAGTTTTTTTTACGCAAACTGAAGTAACGATGACATCTTCGATATTTGTATAAATCAAATGATTTGTTTTAAAAATCAAAATTCTCGTTATTCAAAAGTGAATAACAATGATGAATTTGCATACTGATATGCGTAGATAACAAATATTATAAAGAGGTTGTTTTACGTATGATTTATACCTATAGGTTTTATTAAATTAAATCTTTATTATTACTAGTTTAAGCATAAGCTTTTCAAAAGGACGCATTATCATAACAAATTTACTTTGTTACTTTGGCCATTAACGTCTAGATACTGGTATGGTCTTTGATCTTTTACAAAGATAATAGAACAATTTACAGCATATTCATAAAGGATTGATTTGTTCGGTTTTATATTAATATTATGTAGTAAAGAAAAAAAACAAGCGAGGCTGCGATGGCGTGAAACGTATTCTAATGCCACCCTAGAGCTTTATGAAATAGCTTTTACAGTAGATCATACATCATAAAGTTGCAAGATTTTGCATATTTAAAAAGTTTTATGAAATGTATACGTAAGTAATCTCTCTTAAAATACTATATGTATTTTTACAAGAAAAAAAAGGGCAAATAGTTTATAACAACAGCAAATGGTTTATAACAACAGCAAATGGTTTATAACAACAGCAAATGGTTTATAACAACAACAATTAGTTTATAACACAACAAATAGTTTATAACAACAACACAACAACACCCACAAAAGTAACACCGAGAGTAACACTCAATGTTATCATCCTATTTGCCGCCCCATTTTCGGCATGTGTAATTGCGATTCCCGTAGGTTTAGCCGACTTTGTTCCATAGTGTTTGATAGTCGTGGCTGTAATAATTTTAATTTGATCTGGATCTGGATTTCCAGGTAATGAATTGAATTCGTGATTATACTTTTGTGTTGGGGTTGGTGATGGCGATGACGATGACAACAAAGGTTGAGTGACTGTTGAGAATGTCGGTCGAATTTGCGAGATAGAAGATAGTGTTTTGGTTGTTATATGCGGTACGGAACTTTTTGAAGATTGATTTTTGACTTGTTGGGTAGTAATTGGATCGGCGGCATTAAGTATTGTTATGGTGGTTAGAAGAATTAAAAGGAACGGAAAGAAACGAGAGAAAATTTTATATGTCATTTTCTTTCTTTAAATAAAAGATGATAAAAATATAATTGACTTTATAATTTTGTTTTTGTGAGTCCAATTTTTTTGTCTGTTTAAAATAAATGAATATACCGTTTCTAAAAGTTTACTCTTTAATAAGTTTTCTTTTTTTTTATATATATATTTTCTTGTATGTCGACTTTAATCAAATTCATCAACTTCAAATGCCAATTGATTTAACAAATATATCAAGCATCAAACATCATTTTGCCAAGATCCAATCATTTCTTCAATGCATCATCAATAATTTACAAATTTTGAGATGAATTATATCAATGAATCAATTACTTGGTGATATCAAAAGAGGAGAAAAAAAAAAACACGGAATTTTTTGGCATCGTCTTTGGAGGACAATTTTGATTATGCAGTTAAAATTTAGTTAAATGAAGGCATAATAATGTCATATGTATTACCAAAGTTTGTATAGTTTAAAACCAAGAATCATAGATTAAAAAAAGAACATTTAAAATTCTTAAGCAATGTGTTAATGAATATTTTACGAGAGAAAAAATCTACATAACATGTCAAATACAAAAAGGCAATAATATTACAATAAATGATTAAATCACCAAACAAAAGGAACAATAGCCTTTCTATTCTTTGGATACATATCACCGAATTTCTCTCTGTACCAATCTAAATTAGTTTTCGCTCGCGGTACAAGATTTGCAATCGCAGCCATTAAGAACAAAACTGCAGGATAACTATACCAAGTTGCAATTACGAAACCTATCCATTCAATTATTTCACCAAAATAATGTGGGCATGCTATATAATTAAACAATCCACCATTTGGAATTACATACCTACTAGAAGGAGAATTTGGATTAGTTATTACTTTAACAGATTCTGATTTAGTAGTGGATTTATCAAGATTATTTCGTAATGAAAATAAAATATTATCATGATGAATATTAATCATCATTCCTACTAAAAAAATAAAAACTCCTAGAATAAATCTTGGTGTTTTATAAATGTCCTGTCCATTTTCATCATATAGGTAATTATCTCTACCAAAAATTGAAATCCAACGTGCATTAACATATCCATTAAGAATATTATAAAATATAGCAATAAGCACAATTAATAGATTAATAGGTGCAATGTTCGGAGCTCTATAAGTGTGTATGATCACTCTGTTTGTATAATGGATTATCCAGAATGAAGCAAGAATTATTTGAGTTGTAGTGTAAGTTGCGTCAGTGGAAATGGTAATGGAGAAAAGATCCTTTATAAAAAAACTGTATATAAATGTTATAAGTGAGAAAGACTCCTGAAAGAACCACGCAAATTTTCCCGGAAGGCTTAAACTATTCCATTGAAACTTTCCTATTACACAATATTTGAATTTATAAATTAAATGTGAAATGTTGAATTAAAAAAAGTTTTTGCAAATAGCTTACCATAAGGAGCAATGATAAAAAACGTCCCCAAAAAAGCTAAAGGAAAAAAAAAATTAATTTTCATAACTTCTTCAAAAAATTCACGTTCATTTTGTTGTGTCCATGTTACAAATTCTTTCGTTTGAATTAAGAAATTTTTCATTAAGGAATCACTAGTAAAGTCGGACAGAAACATGGATGTAATTTTGTGAGAAGTATTTGGTGTTACTTTTCAACTTCATTTCTGTCTGGGATTACTAATATGTACCCCTACTCCATATTTAGGGGAATGGCTAAAGCATGACATCAATTAGCTAAGTCCTATATGGGTAATGGACTAGGAAAACCCCTTCGACAGCTAATACGAAAGTAGGCATAAAAATCATGTGTTCTCGACTAATAGTCATGTAACGAAACCCGTTTCAATTATTTTTGTGTATCATCTTCCATAGACGACTAACTGTATACATGAAACCCGATGATCATTGGATATTATCGGTTTATACTATACCGGGTGTTTCAAAAGTTTCAGAACACGGTCCCTTTTTTTAAAGTGACTTTATGCATAGAGATCATTTATGAAAATATAAATGATCTCAATGTATAAGGTCACTTTAAAAAAAGGGACCGTGTTTTTGGAACTTTTGAAATACCCGGTATAGATAATTATAAAATAAAAATTTACATTTATTAGCACAAGTATCTAACGAAAGTTCTACGATTTTTTTTTAACTTGAAGCTCTCAACTAGCTCTACATGGTAACAGAGCTATTTTTTTCAATAGTTTATAAAAACTATATAAATATTAAATATTTAATTATCGCGGTTTCAAAATAGTAGGAATCAGAACAAAAAAATGTATACTGTGGAATAATATATTTGAATATTCGAATATTCGAATATATAATTGTTTCACTGAATTGAATATTCGAATATAAATTCATTGAATATTCAATGAATATATACTATCTAATCGACCAATGAAATGCAAGATTGGGTGTCATATGTTATGGTCAGCGATGCTAATAATCATGCGCCTAAAGTAGATGAACAAGATAAATCCTTATTAGCTAGAAGTTTCTCTATCGATTTATTTATTTTTTAATGTAGCTTGTAAGTATAAAATTCATTTGTTATCTTGTGTATTTAAACTTTCAATTATTCAACTTCATAATATTGTTCGAATTAGTGATGTCGACCATACTCCTGATAAACTATCCACGTGATAGGTTAATACCAAGGCTGTCACTTTTACTATGTCCAGTGGCTAAAGGCACTGGACTGGACCATATTGGGCTTATTAAATTAGTAATCCAGTGGCGCAGCACTGGAATATGTCATATACTTGCGATAAAACAATGAAAATTTATTTGAGAGTATTTTACAATGAAATAAAAAACCGAAAAATTTATTTAGCATATTTACAACGAATAAGAATTTGAATTATTATTTCGATGATGAATTTTATCTTGCCAGTATTTTTGTAAGTCTTCTGGACAATTATAACATTCATTTGCTAAATGTAATTCCATTATGGTTGGTATTCCTCTTTGGCAATGCTTAGGACAATATTTGCATCGGACAGAATAGTATTTCATCAACTAGATTTATTAGCTGAAGAAGCTGAACAATCGTTAGTAGCACTCAAGTTATTATTCGACATATTGGGTTTCAGAATTAAATGATTTGACGTCCGATTTCAGATAAGATGAGTAATTTATTTATTTACTTACATACATATCGCTTACCGGTGAATGTTAATCAAAAGAAGCTAATTTTACGCCTATTTAATTTTCTGATTCGGAATTCTAAAAAAGAAAATAGGATCTTTTAAAACTTCCACTTATTTTTGAAAAAAGTTAATTCTGAAACCTTATTGAAATAAGTAGAGAATTGTTAATTGTTTTGATGTTCTAATTTATAATACAGTAGTTTGACTTTTACGTAATTTGATCATAACGATAGTTAAATATTTTTAGCTACAGTTATATCTTTTTTATTACCAATTTTAACTACGATATATATTAAAATCAGATTTATTGCATGATAAAACCCAAAACGTAGTGATGTTAAAACGTTTAGTCGGCATCACTAGTCCGAATCAGCAACTCTATTTCATGAATATTTGTTGATGAATATTCGGATATTAAAATGGCTGAACGAATGAATGTTCGAATACTCATTTTTCGACCAGATCAGACCTCTAACTGTGTATACTCATATATTGCACGGGTCTTATGTGACAACCCGTGCTTTTTTCATTTACTTATTGGCACGGGATTGTACGTCAGATCCGCGCAATAGGATAATCGATACCGGGGTTGAAAATATAGTGATTTGCCAGCCATTTACTGCGCCGATGCATATTGTTTGAAGTATATTTTTAACTCTTCACAATGAATCTCTTTTTAGAAATTTCTAATCTAAACTTGTATTTATATAAAAGTTTGCATCTAGATATTTTTAGAATCTACTTCTAGTAAAATTCAAACCAAAGGATGTTCTATGGGCAATATGAAAATAAACTCCGCTAATGATTAGTAACCATTAATAGATATTTAGCGGAGTTGCGGAGTTTTCGGAGTTTGTCACCTATTCTATAGAACATCCATTTTGGATTCTAAGTAAATTTTTTAAAACTTTAAACAAAAATAACTAAACTTGATCAACTTTAACAAAAATTTTTTTAAATCAATTCTAAAAACTTGTAAACTTTATTTTAAAAAATTTTACTAAATTTAATTAAATTTTTGCTAAATTATATTATTTAAAAATTAAAATAATTTCACTAAAAAGATATAATGCGTTATTATTGGCTCGCCCATATTTTATAATATATTAAAAAAAATTTTTTTTTTAAATATACGTATAACAGTTATGTGGTTATTATAAAAATAAATATATTTAGCAAAATATACAGAATGCTTGAATGATAACACTATTTGATAAAGTTTGATGAACCAGTGCTAAAAAAGAATGGCTTGAGACAAAAAGCTTGTTGATCGAAATGATATAAACTCACTGGTCGTTTTCCACCATTTAGTTTTTCTTTGACATAATAAAATACATGTCCCATACCTTATTTATCTTAATGGCAAGTGCTGCTTGTGATACTCACATGATCAAAGCCAAGAGATACCATAAGGAATATTTTTTTAAACAAAGGTATCATGATATAATAATTTTGGTACCATTTCATTCATATTGAAACAAATTGAATAGTGCATAGTAATTTATCGGGTAATTTAATAATACCGGTTTTCCCAACGGGTACACACCCTATTTTGATCAATGGATAACAAGTTACTGTATTAGCCAATCAGTTTAAAATCTACATGTGGAATCTGTGGTGCGCAAGCAAAATTTTTATTATGTGTCATATATGTCGCGTTAGAGTTGCGCAACAAACATTTTGATTAGTTATTTAGATTTGGGGGTTACACGAAATTTAATATATGTATGTATATGCGTGCTGCCAAGGAAAACCTGGAATTCTCATTTTTCGGAAATTCCACTTTTAGAAACAGACAATATCAAATTCTTATAACGATAGGCTGTTTCTGAAAATGAAAATTCGGAAGACTAGCAATTTCAGGTTTTCCCTTGGTAACACCCATATTGTTGTATTATCCGGAAATTTTATGTTTTTATAAATTTTTATAACTATCAAATATTAAAGAATATTTTATCTTTAAATATATTTACGCTTTATTGAATTAATAGTTAGAGTTTAAAAATAATAAGTTTAATATTATATTTGCATTTTTTAAAGCCTAACTATTCTATCAATATTACGAATTTTTAATTCTGTAAAGCGAAATAATATTTAAAGAATTTAGTTTTAATAAAATGTGCTTTAATTTTCTAATTGCTAATCAAAAGAGTTTTAATTGTAGAATTTTATATATTAAGAAATAATCTTGAATATGTAGATCATTAAGGCACCAAATCAATATTTGATTTTAGTAGTTTAGGAATGCCATGCATCTTTTTTACACTGGCTACAATGCATAACTTTGTTATAATTTCTCTTATGATTATAGTGTATTAAAGATTGTGTTCGTATTTTTATCATTTTGTGTTTAAATGATTTAAATTAGACTTACTTTCTATTTACACACTTATGATTCATTTATTATGAAAAAAAAAAAAGATTTTTGAATAAAAGTAGTTTTATTAATTTGTATATTATACAAAAATAAAATTTACAAATTAAAATACTAATCATATAATTCCGCACGTTATCACTCACTATCTGAGTGACTATGAGGGTTACTTAATTATGTCTCTCAAAAAAAAGAGAAAAAAAGAACAACTAGGTTCAAGGCTTAAATCTAAATTGTCCATGCTTAGTTTTAATTCAACCATACTTTTCGATATCAAAATTAAAAGCAATTGTCACGTTGATACCATTAAATTTTCTGGTGGAATGATTTCTATGAAAAAAGAGAAAATTATTAGTATCATATATAAGAATAAATAGGATAAAATAGAAAGTATTATAAACTGAAACTTACTGTCAAAAGGTATAGATAATTCGTATTGACTCAGGAGCTCATCATCTTCCTCCTCTTCTAATTCTTTTGTTTCTAATGCCTTGCTTTTGACAAAGTAACTTTCATCGCGAACAAGTAAAGATGCCATATCAATTGAATTCTTATATGAAGCATCATAAGATTGTTTAATACGTTGAGAACTAATGCCAGACAAAGGAACTACGGGAAATTTAATTTTTCTACTAGTATATATGGCTTGAGGATGAATCTTTGGTGGGGAAACCATTCTTCCAGGAGTGGTGTCAAGTCCTTTAGCTTTCATTTTACTAAGTCTAATATTTTCAGAAGCTTCAAATTGTTCAGAATTTTTACTATATAAATACCAATCACCTAAAATTTTTACAATCTCAGAAATTTCAGGCCGATTATCAGGATTGCTAGACCAACAACGTTTCATTAAATCGGTATAACATTCGGGAGTGTGTGGATCATTAACAGGGCGTGACCCATCAATAATATAATCTATTAATTTAGAATTACGAGTTTTATCGTAAAATGGAGGTTTGTTTGTCGATAATTCCCACATTAGCATACCAAAACTATAAATGTCCGATTTTACAGAGTAAGGTTTGTTTTGTAAAATTTCTGGAGCCATATAAGGCAAAATGTCATTTTTATAATAACCAATCATTGGAATTGGATCTTTGGTCTCCCCTAAACCTAATTCATTTACAGGAATTTCTATGTGGGATTTAAATATCTGAACATTTGAAGCTTGTTCACGATGGACTTGTTCACCATTTTGATATGATTCAAAAGCACAAGCAATAGAATGAAGAATGGCAACTTTACGGGACCAAGTTAGGCGAGCGAAATGATGAGAGACATAATGTCTTAGGTCCCATTCGCAAGTTTCAGCAACCATCATTAGATGACCGGTGACGGTTTCTCGAGTAACCCCAAATAGTCTTATTATAAGACCATTTTTTGAGCGAAAATTGTATTGTAATTTTAACTAAAAAGATAAGAAAAAAAAAAAGTTAGAAAAGTTTTTAACAGAATTGTAACATCAAGAGAAGAAATAGATAGATATATATTTACCTCTTTTAAAAATATGACGGGGTCTTTGCCAAGAGAAATTAGGGCGACTTTTATTAAACCTCTCCTGGCCACATATTTATTTTCAGCTTCACTCCAAGCATCTTTTGGACCTTCCCTCCAATTAGCACTATAAACAGTTCCGAAACCGGAATTATCATATTTGTTTATACCGATAAAAGAATTGAAAGGAAAGAATTCTAAATAGTCAGTGCAATCTTTAGAGTTTATTTGAGTTTCTTTTATAAAATTATCTATTTCTTCAAATCCCGAAGTCCAATTATCAAAATTTTCTCGAAATTGTTGACTTTGACAAGATTGACACCAGTGGCTTGTGATCAAGCATTGATCACATTCAGGACAGTAACTCTTGGCAGTTAACCCCATATTTGGTCTATAAAAAAAAAGTTTATATTACTTCGCCGCCTAATAAAGTTGATGAAAGAAAAATTGAAAGTAGAGAGAACAATCATAAAAATGATAAGAATTTATAGATATTTTATGTGATACGATTTTGGCGCATACACTAAAATTGTGACAATATTATCCGATTTTCATTGTTTAAGGAAATTCTACGGAGTTTTCTCGGACTTTCCCTTTTGATTATGCGATTGGTAATATGGAATAATTTTATTTGTATCACAATTCTATTATGTTCTTTAATACAACTTCCTAATCAAATTTGGAATAAACTCTCTGTGACACCGTAAAAAAAGAAATCCGATGCTGTTCTGTTATGCTAAAATAATTAACCTGTAATTGACAGACTTTTTTAAACAATTAATTTTGGTTATATTTTAAAACGCGTTACAACGAAATCCATTGTAGAGTACAAATACGAGAAAAGAATAAAACGTAGATAGAAGTTACTGGTCCTTCGGAGTACGCGAAGAGACGCAATAACAAACCAATGAAAGCAGTAGGAACCGTTTTCCTTTCTATAAATATTCCTTTAGCTCGTTGCAAAAATACTTTTAAAGCATGCATTATGATAAAGCTAATAAAAATACGGACACAAATTCATTGTCATTAATTATCAATGAAGAAAACTCCGCGTCTCACATATAAAAGAAAAATTGTTAAAACTCCGGTATTTTGATTTTTTTGTAAAGACGATCAAACTTTAAATCTTTCATATGGACATGCACATAGATATTTCCAAAAGGGACCGTACTCATCAGTCTTTACTAATCATTTTAATTTCTCCACATTTGGGTTAATTCGTAAAAAAAAAATTCTCATGAGTTGCCTTGATGTGTACAATTAGAATGAACTAGAAACTCATGTTCAATGCGATACTTGTTTTTGGAAAGATTGCGTAAGATTACGGGCGGTCTGGTGTGTCAAACTTATGAGAAAAGATTAATTTTTTCTATATTCTTTGTATGTTATCCATTAATATTATCCAGTAATCTCCAGTAATCTCCCTATATTCTTTGTATATCATCCCTTTTCTATTTTTACTTATTAATATTACCTGTGTAATTAAATTATTGTGAAATTGAGAAATTCTGTGCTGCCAACTACGTTATCTATTCAGAAGCTCATGTATATTACAAGCACACTTTACAGCGCAGTATGTAATATTTGTAAACATTGTTATAAGATTTTTCCCCGGGTCTTCCTCAAAAAAAAACATATGAAGACATTTGTGCCTATCTCACGTGATGTACTGTAATACGTACGTAATTGTGCACTTTAGTATAAATTATTATCCGGTTATTATTATATATATTTATATATCAAAATGTCGTCATTTTACTGAACCAATCGGCCGAATCTGTTGATTTTAAGTGGATACTGGCTATTATTATACATATTTAAGTAACAATAAACGATAAATAATAAAATTTGCATTGCATTGTACATCATATGTAAGAGATCACGTTTCAGTTACATAATTTTGACTAAGTTCAAAAAGGATTTTGAAATGAGAATGGATATAGTTGCAAAAATATCACAGTACTAAAGGTTTTAAGGGTCTTGAAATGAGAATGATTTTTTGAGAAAAAATCATAGTTTCAAAAAATATCGCAGTACTAAAGGCTTTTAAGGGGCTTGAAATAAGAATGATTTCTTTAAGGATCTTGAAATGAGAATGGTTTCTTTAAGGGTCTTGAAATGAGAATGGTTTCTTTAAGGGTCTTGAAATGAGAATGGTTTCTTTAAGGGTCTTGAAATGAGAATGGTTTCTTTAAGGGTCTTGAAATGAGAATGATTTCTCGAGAGTAAATCATATAGTTGCAGTACTAAAGACTTTTGAAGATCTTGAAATGAGAGTGGGTTTCGTAATATTGAATTATCTACAGTGAAAGAAAATCTTTTCTTATTATAATATAGTATAGTGATAACAGCATGAAAAAATGATAATTACTTGTTGAGGGCATCTGCGTTTAACTTCTTCAATGCTATGTAAAGTCCGCAATTTATGAGATTTCCTAAATTAGTTCACAAAATGACCATTTGTTCTAAAAAAAAATGTTTGAACTTTATAATTATCAATAATAATAATAATAATAAAAAAACCATTTTATTATAGCCAAGACATCTCTACTAGTTTCATCATGATAAATCGTTTCAATACACTCAACGTGCGAATCCCAATCTGGTTCGTAAAATCGAGGAATGTTGTCACCTAAGCGATTTTTTCCAGAATTTCTATTTATTTTATTGCTTTCTTTCTGTTTTTTTTTCACGTTAACGGTTTCGGAACCTACTATTTTTGAAGAGTTGGTTTCGATAATAGATTGGGATGGTAAAGTCGAATCTGTTGTCATTGATGATGGTGATATTCCTTTGGATAGTGACTTTGATGATGGATGGTTTTCAAAATTTTCCCAATAGTATTCAATTAACTCTGCATATTTAATTCTTTAGAAAAGATCTTTTATTCTCATTTCTTTGAGTTTTGCGATAGTAAATATTTTTTTTTTTGAAAATACATTCTCGCTTTACTTACATTTCATCTTGAAGTTTCCATGAATTTTCATCTTCTGGATAACCTTTCCATTTGACCAGGTAGCTTACACTTCCCTGTAAAAAAAAAACCATTTAAATTTGATTACAGAAAAATACGCTACAATCATAAAACTTACATTAATAAATTTATGTTCAATAATTCTTTCAACAACTCTTTTATTTTTTCCTTGCATAGCGTTGTTGTCTTTACTAATACTAATTGTTAATACGATGAAGATAGTTGGTATCTGTAGTTAATTGAAATGGCTTAGTAATTATTATTTGCTGTCACGTTCTTTTAAAATATGATGACAAACTAAGATTATTCGTTCTGTTGACGTTGTCAATGCCAATCAGATTCTGATTTCTTTTAAACAACTGCAAAATCGAAAAGTATACCCTTATGCAATTGAGAAGAGATTAAACAAATGATATTGTAAGTGAGTAGTCGCCTTGTTTACTAAGAACAAAAAACCGTATCTTTATTATTGCAGAAAAAAATCTGCGTAGCAGGTAGTTGAAGATATTTAAGACCAATGTATGAAATTCAATTTTGATTTTATGTTCTCATAAGAAACATTTTTCAAGTTTTTAATGTTTTATACAAAAAACTTAATGTTTTCAAATAGAGATCTCTCTGAGAACGTTAAGAACATTGAATTCGCACGTTGTTTCAAACTTTTTTTAAGATTTATGAATTTAAAAGTTTTTAAAATTTTATAAAGTAAATGTAGGTATTATTGCGAATATGTGTGGGTAAAGTGACGAATTGAATATATTACAATAAAACATGAGTTTTTTTATTTATACGCTTGGACGCAACAAATTAATTTTCTGCGCCCAAATTAATAATGACCGAGTCGGATTTTGTTTAGCGAATAAAGCACAGTTTACTTACCTATACAGGTAACTCTCGATATAAGAAACCTTCAATATAAGAAACTCATGATATAAGAAAAATTTTGCAAGCCCCAATTAAAAATTCTATAATAAAAAGCTCTTGATATAAGAAAATCTCGATATAAGAAAGGTTTTGACTAGACCCAGCAACTTTCTTATATCAAGATTCACTTGTAGTCACAAAATAATGCCCATGAGCGTTATTTAGAACAATGGCCCGGATCAAGCTTAAACTTTGAAACAACACTCTGCGCGTTGTTATTTCGCGACTATAAGATAGTAATAAGTCCTATTTTATGAAAAGAAAATTCATCAGGGAATGTGTTAAGGTACGTACGTACGTACTTCAGAATTTTGCCTAAGAAAAAATTTCTATTTATAATTTTGGCATAAGTTTAGCCTAAATTCTCCTTCTAACCCTTCCTAATCTAACCCCAACATAAAAAATCTATATAATATAGACGATGTTAACATTTCGGTCAGGATGAAGGCACGTTCGTACGTACGTACGTAAGAGAATGATTCGTACCATCTAGTGATACGGGTCTGCACCTTCGTGGGCCTAGAGTTAATACCTCAATCTGGGTATATTTTTTATATCCAGAGTATAAATCCGGATTTAAATTTAAACCCGGATTTATTTATATCCGGATTTACAGCTGTTTTCATAAATTCTGGGACACCCCAAAAAAATTGCCGGCCGAATTCGATAAGTTATTGATCAGAAATTATTGAGTTACTATTACAGCACATTGTTCGATCAATATTATATTACATTCGCAACGTCAACTCTTTCAACGCTTTATTAAAATTTTTTTTGTCCTATCCAATATGTATGATACAAAAATTATGCCAAAAACTGTTCTTGCCAATTAATGGTTCTTCACTAAAAAAGTATAGAACATAAGTTGGACTTTCTTAATAAACATACAAACAGCTTTGAATTTAAATGATCTATAAATAAAGCAAAATTTTTTACTTCAAGTTCGTTTTGTGAATCTTTTTATTATATAATTATCTTTGGTAACTTAAAGTATAGCAAATTTTGTTTATTGAAATATACTGTATCTACGTATACAAAAATCAAAAAAAATTTGAAAATTTGCCTTTTTAGTACGTAACACTCCATATTACACGAGTAGGCACTAATAAAAAAAAAGGTTAGATCAGGGTAGAGAGTGGAATCGATGAGTTTCGAGCATTGGTTGATCACAAACTCCAGAATTTCGAGCATCTGTAATAAATTTTGACCATGTTCGATAACATAAAAAAAATTGCGTAACATTTAATTTATCAATTGTATTGCTATAGCTACGTTTTTAAATTTATCAATTGTAC